CGTGGTGGAGGGACAGGATTAGGGATGGGGAAACAAAAGCTACCTGCAAGCTGGGCAGGAGGAGGAGAGGTGGAGCAGGGCAGGAGTTGGCTGTGGGACTGAAATCTCACTGTGGAGATGTGAAGCACCAGGCAAGAACAGGGATCAGGATGGGCAGACTATGCCTAGAGGTGAATGAATGTTTAAGAGGACTTGATTTAAGTGCGAGGGTAAGTGGTGATCACCCTGGCAGCTTGCCTGGGACTGGCTGCACTGGGAGCATCCCTACATATGGGAACAGTGACTCCAGGCCTGGCTTGTGAGTGCACCTCTCATTTTTGGTGGCAGTAAGAAAGCAACAGTTCACTTTTCAGTGAGCTATTGTGATAAATTATATTTACTTTGAAAAAGTTAAAAAGGTTTATTAAAACTTTGTCAAAAATTACAACAGAACAACAGAGAAACAGAGAAAATAAGCCCAGTGCTGGGAGCAAAGAGTTTTCTCTACTATGTGCTCATCTACACAATGGATGCTCTGCTTTTTAACTCTTTGGCCTCTCTTACAGTTTTGTCTATTGACAAAATTCCTTTGCTGTCTAGTGGTGGAGATTACTTTCTGAGATCTTGATTGGAGGTCAGGTGTTGCTGTAGTAATGAGCTGACTTTCTTAAATGCCCCAGCCATCTCCTGAGAACAATGAAAAAGGGGGGAAACATAACTATAAATTTATAAAACTTCTCTTAGTATACACATAATATTTGTTCTTTAATTGTGAGAGCCGACTATTTCATTGCTCATTTATTACACTATGAGTTCAGTGAGGGCAGGGGCATGAAAAACCTGGCAGGGGGATCTTATGCTACCCTTGGGCTTGAAGGTGTGCTGTGTGCTGCCAAGTGTCTGTAGAGCCTGGAGAATACCACAGTGGTCACAGCCAGGCTGTAACTTTAATCCTTTAATCCTGTGAGGCTTCCTTTTTGTGCTAATCCGCTGATAGGAACCTGGAGGTAAAGATATCGCCCTGAGAACCACCAGTGGTCAGACTCAGGCTAAATTAATTTTCTTTTTAGCCAAGTGAATTAAGAAAGCAGGAGTTACTTCCTCCCAAGGAACAGGGGCTAAGAAGTAAAACTGAAGAGGGTTTTTTGCTCCACAGGGGAAAGACAGATAGGAGGGTTCTGGCAGAGGCTCTTTGAAGCACATAAACTTTGCTAGGTGCATCTCTTGGTAGTTTTTGCACACCAGTTATTTATTTACAGTTATTTATTTAAAAAAAAAAAATTAAAGCTGTGCTTCATGCAGTAATTGAGAACAAACAAGGAAACCCAGGAGAGCCAGTGTTTCCATCAAGAGTACATGGAAAATAGGAAAAAATTGCAGTAAAATGAGAGGGCCAGTCACAAGGCTGTATCAGTAAAAAAGTGATGTGACATTTCCGATTTTTGATGCCTTTCTGCATATGTGTTTTGTTTCCAGTTATGGAGGTAGATGGTTGTGAGTAATAACTTAAAAAGAAGGATTCCTTGGGAAAGAAAAGGATAAGTAGGGACAGCTAATGGAGAAGATAAAAAAAACTCATCATAGGAGATGCATGTGGTTTTCCTGATTCTGCAAAGTAGTTTTAATGTCTTGTCCTGGAATGAGTGTTTTGCAAGCATGTTCTGCAATAAGTGTGGGTTGTAAATCTCCTTGCCTACTCTGAACTGGGAGAAGGCATTTCCTTTGGGAAAGAATGTTGGGAAAAATGAGCAGGAAAATGTTCATGACTGTAAGCCAGTACATGCCACACTAACCCTCCTATCTTTCATTCACATATTTTTATATTTGAATTAAGCAATGTTTCTGTGGGTAGGAGCAAACAATGCCCAGAAGAAATCCCTGAGTAGATGTACGAAAAACCCCGTGGTTCAATGTTGAAACAGATTTAAAGCTGTTGCTACTTATCATGGCTGATATGAGATGTACATTGCTAATTAATGAAATGGTTTTGGTAAAATCCTTGTTGATGTATCAGCTGTCCTTTTGCCAGATCAGCATCAAACATTTGGCTAAAGCTGAATCTATGGCAGTGGGAATTTTATTGGCACGGGCAGAGTTGGGATGCCAGATGTGTTTGGGTTCTGAATGTAAAGGTACAATGTTACATGGCTTTATTATGAAGCTGAAAGCTGTGTGAGATAAATCATAAAAGCAAACCTGTTTATTTCCAAGAAAAACGTGTAATGGATGTAAAAGCATGAGTGTTTCAATTAAAAGTAATGAGTGCAATTTATCACTTAGCTCTGCTTTTCTTTGTTTTGCAGCTCATGGGGCATTCTGAATGGGATCACAAACGAGGACCCAGAGGCTCACAGGTCAGCTGCTCAGTATTTTGTGTTTGATTTTGGCTTTTGCTACATTTGAGGTATTAGAGCAAGTTTTCCATCTTGAGTTTGGTGAAGTTGTTGATTTTGTTGATATTTGCAGGGTTTGGAACAATGGAAAAAGGCATAAAACCATGACAGCTTTCATTAATATAATTTTTGAGCTGTAATTCAAACAGTTGATCTAGACAGAGCTGAGTTGTCTAACAGAAAGGCTTTTTCAGCAGCAGTAAGATGGATTAGATGTATGGAGAAAGCATTTCTTACTCAGCTATCTCCATCAGGACATCAAAGCAATGCAATTTCAAACAGTGTGGGTATGTTTTGTTTGGTTTATTTTTTTTTTTAACCTGACAAACTTGTTAAAACTTGGATGGCTCTCTCCCCATGAATCCTTTCATTATTGACCAAGGTATTGGAACTGTGTGGGGCGGTGCAGAGAAGCCACATGTAGCCACTGGTTTGCTCTTGACCTGTCACTGGAAGGAAATTATGCCAGTAGTGTTAATGGTATCACAATCCATTCCAAAGTTATCTGTAGTAGCTCTCTCCTGTAATTATCTATTACAATTGCTGCAAACAAGACATCACTACCAGTACTGATGTTCAGGAATTTTCCTGCTTGGGTAAAATAGCCTTTCCTATCTAGTGCTGAAAGAACAGAAACACATTATTAGAGCTCCAGCCTTTTGTACTTGCTCTTACCTCAGGTGAAGGATTTTCACATGGACACTTTGTACAAATGGCACTCCAGTGGTGTCATAAAAGCATGAAAGGATCTATAACGAGGTGGGAAAAGAAAACTGTAGAATCATAGAACAGTTTGGGTTAGAAGAATGTTAAAGATCATCCAGTTCCAGCCCTCTGCCTTGGGCAGGGACACCTTCCACTATCCCAGGTTACTCCAAGCCCTGTCCAGCCTGGCCTTGGGCACTGCCAGGGATCCAGGGGCAGCCACAGCTGCTCTGGGCACCCTGTGCCAGGGCCTCAGCACCCTGACAGAAAACAATTTCTACCTAACGTTTAATCGAAACCTACTCTGGCAGTTTGAAGACATTCCCCTAGTCCTCTCACTACAGTTCCTGATGAAGAGTCCCAAAATGACCCAGCCTTCCTGATTACCTTGTGTTATCCTAGTGCCCAGACTCAAAAACCAAGGAAGAAAAGGAAAAAAAGATCCATTAGAGAGAAGTAAATATGCCTCAGTTATTTCACTGTAGCTTTAGATTGTCTCTTTTACATGACTGTGAAAATTGTCTAGATAGGAATAGCATTAAACCTAATATAATTAAGTTCTTTGAAAGGTTAGGAGAAATTAAGGAGGTTCTGATTTTTTGCAGAATAGAAAAGACTTTTTTAAAATCCTTTTGTGATTCAGGTACATTGTTGCCAGTTTGTGTCCTTTACAAAATGCACCTGTTGTAAAAAAACAAGATCTTGCTAAAAAATTAGGTGAGTGATGTGTTAGGTATACTTAAATACCTTAAAACCTAGAAAGGAAAAAAAAAGGAAGTGAAATCACTGGTTTATCATAATGTAAAACTAAAATCCACGTATAAACTCCTGAAGTTACTCTATCAAGACTCATTAAAAAAAGCTCTGATTCAGTGAAGGTTGTTTTTTTTTTTTAAGAGCTAGTAGGTTTTCTATGGCATGTGTTGAAACATGAGGGGAAGCTGCTACAGTGCATGTCATACTTCTTAATGGCCCACTTGGAAAACATGTTCCTTTCCTGCACGTGGGAGTGAAATGCGAAGTGCTGGAGTTCCAGGTAGAGATGGATCTCAAATGAAATGCACTGAGGCCTGTGGGAATTTCTGTTTGCAGCACTTTGTCTCGTGATAGGCATCTGCAATTCAATAGAATGTTAATGCACAAGCAAAAAGCTGTCTTTACAGTATTTAACTTGCTCATGGCTACTACCGTGACCACCACTGCGCTCCCCTTTTGATACTGCCCACATGTATGTGTATGCATGTTGCAGGATTCCTTTTCTCTTAGAATAATTATACTACTAAGGCTGCTCTAATTGGATTGAATTATAGGTTGCCTTACAAAGAGCAGGGAGTTCCTGGTACATACTTGTTCTTTTTTTTTTTTCCTTTCTTTTTTCATCCCTGAAGACAGTGCTGCCTGCTGTAAGTGCTTCGTGCTGGGAATTTATGGATTTGAAATTAAGCAGGAAGAGCAAAGTGAATTTCATTACATTTCATGCTTAACTTTAAAGATTAATACGCACTAGCACTAAGAATTTAGGCATAAAACTTCAAAACTGAGTTCCAAATTAAAGACATTCCGAAGTGTTCAGGAATATTTAATCCACCTAAGGAAATGAGTCTCGAACATATACATGCAATCTGTCGAACCACATCATGTGAGGGGAAAATATCCATCCAGTTTGTAATGTTGGCACGTGCCACAAGAAAATGTGACTAGCAGAATTCACCCTTAGAATATTATTGCTCTGCATAAAAAATATGCAAATTTCCCTTTAATCGTTGTACTAGAACACAGTGCTTGATGCTGGCGAGATCTTTCAGGTGGGACCCATGGCACACTTTGTGCACACGTTTTTACGAGGGCTCCTGGATGTGTGGGAGTAATTTGCTGCTCTGTCATCAAGACTTGTTTGGCTTGCTGGAGGTGTAGGCGTAGCCCCAGAGTCAGTGAAATCGAGCAATCCTTCCTCCAGCGCTGTAAAAGCACGGTGATGGAGAGAGAAACACGGGTCCAGCCTTTTTAATTCTCTTTAACTATAAAAGCTCTCAATTATACATCCGAGGTGCTGCGTTTTACCCCTCCAGTTCCTAAGCAACAGCTATTTTCAGATTGAGTGCGTCTGGTGTTGTCTACCTACTCCAGGCTCCTTCCTGCGAGGTGGCTGGTGGCTGCTCGCTGCCTCAGCCTCTTGCTGTGCCACTGAAGGAGCAGATGCTTTGAGGAGCAGCAGGAGCTGGGCTCTGACCAGTCTCCACCTCGCAGCTCACACCAACTTGAGTGCTTCGGGGAGCTCTGCCGTTCTACAATGAAGAGCAGGAGTGAGAATTAAGGCTCTTGCCGCTGGTTTGGGACAGAAGCTTTTTTGTCAAGTCTGGCAAAGCCTCTAGAGCAGATTCAGGAGGATGAGCCGGAAATCCCTGTACTTGCTGAAGCGCAGGTGGGAGTCCATTCCCGCTGCTGACCAGGTACTGTGCTCTGGGAATCTGTCGTGTCTCAGTGTGCCCTCAGTGCCACTGTAAAGAGAATTTCAGTGACCTAACGGGGGTGTAGGGGTTCTCTGGACACAGGGAGAGCCAGCTGCTCGTTATTTGTAGTTTCCAAGCTGAACGCTGCAAAACGTTGGTAAAGCTGATTTTGCAAGGGAATGTGCTTGTGAAGGTGGAGATGCCATGGCAGCCCACTAATGCAGATGTGTTTAACCAAAAAAGTCTCCCTGTCTCAGAAAGGAGACTTTTCTAAAGGCTTTAGAGGTATTTTAAACTGAGTGGCTAAGGGAAATTGTAGTCTGCTGTTGATGGGTTGGTGCGTGACTTTTTAGTGTTTGATATCTTTCATATCTTACATACATCTGTGTGTATTGGGTCACTGAGGCATTTTCAGAGTCCTCTTGGTTGATGTGTCATTCCAAGTGTGCTAACCAAGACGAGAGTAAAGCAGATGCAAACAGAACCTATGTAAACATCTGCTGGGAAAAGCAAACACTGTCACCAGACTCAGGACTAAGATGTGATGAATGGCAGTGTGATTAGTATATTTACTACTTCTTGCTCCAGGCACTCCAAGATTCTCTGATTTTTTTGTTCAATACTTTTCTTGGGATATACAGATAATAAAAGAAGTAATTACAGAAATAATATTGGTGAGCTAACAGCTCCACTCTCTTCTCAATCATAATTCCATCTCAGTTTTCCATTTATAAAACAATTGATTTATATGAATGGTAGTCTTTATCTGTAGAAAAGAGACAATTGTTTGACAGGAAGAACAACAAAAATGCCAGTTTTTGAGAATCATCTTCCTGTGCATTTTTATTAAGAGGGAGAAGGGCAGGAAAGATGACATACCATATTTTATGTAGATTTTCAAGATAAATCATGCCACTTGGAACTTTTAGAGATCTCAGAAATATTGTTTGTCAAAAAAAAATCAAAACCATGCTGTCACATTATTAGTCACAATAAAATAATAAGGCACTGTTGATTAATACAGTTTTATTGTACTGAAAGGAATTTAATTGATCCAGATCAGTCCAGCATTTTTAAATTTCCTAGCAAAAAAGCATAACTAAATGCTCTGTTAGGAAGTGAATAATTTGTGATCTTGTTTCTGTTAAGAAGATGCAGAGACACTAATGTTATTTCAAATGAAAGCTGGTTTTCAGCCTCACTTTTCCAGCATTCCCTTTGAATCACTCTAACCCTAATGTTGTATTGCATCATACATCCTATTGTAACACAGTATGTGGGAAAATAAATATTCCTCACTTAGGTGGGAGGTGTGCAAGGTTGCACTGAGCTGTGCATCAGTTCCACCATCAGTCCCTCAAGCCCTCTGCAGGGTTTTAAAAGAGGAAAGGGAATTTCCCTGACCCATCTGCCACCCTGGGAGAGGGAGACTCAGAAAGTGATGCAGGGAAACACTTGAGCATAGTTTGAGTCTGTAAGGACTGGCTGAAGGAAAATGAAATTACTGTGCAAGATGACAGCCCCAAAGAGGCAACTTCCTGAATGTTTTAGGCTGGTCCTGTTCACAAGCTATTGTATAAAAATAGCACCCCTGCCTTTTGGTGCAAATCCATTCTTTAGTCCTTAAAGGGATGCAATCTCTTACAGTGTTCTAGGCTGACCTTGACAAAATGACTTTATGTTTTGACAGGTAAGCAGTAACACTGTAAGTTGCTTCTCTACTCAGAGTAGATAAAAGATATTTGTGTTAACAAATAACAAAACCTCTCCAAATGGGCTTTTGCCACCTAAAATTAAAAAAAAAAAAAAAAAAGTAAAGGAAGGAGATAAAATCAAACTGCAAAAGTGGGATATTTGGCTTGATCTTGTTCCTAGTGTAAAATGATGTGGCAGGTGTGACTTTTAAGAAAGTGGAAGCTGTAAGTCCACAGTCAAGTTTGATACTCTATTTGAACATATTTTCTGTTTTTTTTTTAATCGTAGAGTGATTTTTATTCCTCATCTTGCATACTCTGCATGAAATGAAATGACACCCAGAACTGTTTAGGCAAGGCTGAGCAGCCTGAGAAGTAAGGGTAGAGAAAAACCAAGAGTGGTTGTGATGTCTATAGACAATATAGTTGGAGATTGTTGGCTTAGGGGATTTTTTTGGAGCTAGGTTGTTATATAATTTTATTTTTGATCTTTTGAGCATTGTTTATGCTCTCAGACACTACATCACAGAGGTCTCCATGGTTTCCAGGCTCTGGTATGACAAAGGAATTTTCTGCTCATTGTTTTGTATTTTATGGGTATGAAAGAGTGAAGAAAGTAGATTTAACTGGAACCCTGAATTAGATCTCTTTTGGTTTGGTTGATGAAAAATGTCTGATCTTCCTGTTCATTTTTATATGTGGAAAACACATCTTTATCCTGGGGGTGTTTTGCATGGGTAAATTTAAGCTAAATAGTGATAAATTAAATACTATCTATTGGCCTCTATTTGACAAACTGTAATATTTCTTAGTTCATTAATCTTGAATGGCTTTGTCAATACTTTCAGAAGGAATTACTTTTATCTAAGTAAGGAAAGAATTTGTGAATGCTTTTCTTTCTTGTCCATCCAGCTGTTCAGATTGCTTGAAAGCCATCTCTGAAGTTTCAGTACAGGGGTTTGGGGAGTAATTCTATGTTTGTTTTATTTGGTGTATGTGCCTGAGGATCTTGTTTCTAATTTTTTATTCCTGAGAATGCTTTCAGTAAATGGATATGTATTTGAAATGTTGTGGTAGCCAGATGAGCCAGAGGTGCTAAATATTTGCCGTAATGCTGTTGAGTATTTCTACCTACCTGCTATCCCCTATAAAGTTCATGAGCTGTAGCCTTTGAGCATAAGTTGGTTTTGATACAGGTCCTAAGGAAAAATCTTCCCACATTTTCCCATTATGAAAACTTCGAATTGTTTTCGTGGTGGCTGTGAACTTAAAAACACAAACTACATTTCCACAATGATGTAAGAAGAACATGACCAATAGTTGCTACAGGGGGTTACATACTTTATATATATTTTTATATATTTTTTAGATAGTCATGTATTTACATATATTTTTATAGCTGTGGATATTTGAAAGGAATGTACTATGCAGTTCAGTAAAAGCAGTAATATTTTTTTAGATAGGAATTCATGCTTACAGCAGTGTGAGCAGTGGTAATGCTTTGTGCAGCATTAGATTGTGATGGATTGGTGTAAAACCCATGAAGTGATGCTTCCCTTACCTGCCAGTGATTTACATCACAGCTGTGCCCAAGGCAGTTTGCATGCACAGTGCAATATCCTGTTCCTTACCACTGATGTGGTAGGTGGGACAAACTTCCACAGGGTTTGTGGAAGGGTTCTCAGCAGCAAATGAACTGATCCTGAGTCATAACTGCAAAATGATAAACCAAGGAATTTCCTGGGTTTCATATAGCATTGCATCATGCAGCCTCCAGATTCACTGTGTGTTCAGTACAGAGCAGGGTCCTCATGAGACACATCACTGCAGTGATCCTTGTACCCAACATAATCCCTTCTACTTCACCTGAAAACAGTTTACAATTAAAAAAAAAAAAAAAAAAGAGGTTTCCTGTTAAGAATGTTTTTGTGGGTCTTCGCAGTTCTTCATTGTTAATAAAACCTTACATGATCCTTTCATTCAGCAGACAAGCTTTCAAAGCTTTAGTGGCAGAGCAGAGATTTGCAGGGTTTGGGATGTTATGAGAAAGAGGCCTTGTGGCAGGGTTGTGGGCTGGTTGGAATATGGGGCTGGGGGAGGAGAGCTGCTTTTGCACAGCAGGAAAGGTGCAGGAGGCTGAGCCTGGGATTAAGAAATGACCTAGGAAATTCTTCCTTGCTTTCTAATGCAGCAGATGAGTGATGCAGAGCAGAAACCTATCTCACAGAAATAATCTGCCTCAGATTTGTCCTTGCTTCTCTTGGAATGAGGACTTGAGGCACAGGCACTCTCTGGGACTGGGGGACCATTTCTTTTTGTCCTGCAGGCTTCCTGCCCTGCTGCCCTGTCCTACTGGCCAGATGATGTGGGCAAACCTCCTGCAACCTTCCACATCCATCACTCACCCCTAGGATGGAGAAAAACCTTTGAAATGGTGTCAGCCACCCCGAGAATCCTCTCTGCTCTTGATTTCTGTCTCACAATGACTGGCAAGGGGACAGGAGTGGATTGGAAGCTCAGTAATGACTTTCAGTCTGTCTTGTCACTATTCTTCATACCTAAACAGGAGCTCAACACAGATTTCCAGAAGTGTTGCCATTCTTCTTCAAAACCCTTCTCCACCTTTATTCCTCCCAGGTTTGCAGTGGAAGTCCTGGTGCTGGTCAGGCAGTCCAGTTGTGTGACAGAGAAGCTTGCTGACAGCACTCAAATTGTATTTTACTTTAATCAGTGAGCAAGTTCCAGTTCTGGAAGGTTGCAATTTGTAGGATCATAGCCATGCTGCAGATCAGTGCAGTTTGGAAAAGGAATCAGTTCTGAAATGCAAACTGTAATGGGAAATAGATGCTGGTGAAATGACTCCTTGAAGAGGCAGCATGGTAGGAGTAAAAAAGGTTTGGCACAGTGCCATTTGTCTCGATATTTTGAAAAGCAGAGATCATGGCAGAAGCTGATAATTGTCCTTTTTTTCCCATTTTTTTTCCATCTGGGGTGATCAGACTCCTGAAACACCCTTGATTCTCCCTACATTTTCCTCCCTTCCTGGCAGTTTTCATAATTTTAATTTTTAGCAGTTCTCATAATTTTGTTAACTCATTTGTTTTCAGAACCCTGACTTTTATATGGTGTGATTTTCTGACTAAAGCTTATATTTCTCAGTTGCCTTTTATAAATTTAGAGTCTTAAAGTCTTCAGGTTAAGCAATTTTTATTCATCTGCGGTTTTGGGGGGTTGTGGTTTTTTGGGTTTTTGGTGGTTTTTTGGTGGTTTTTTTTTGTTTTTGGTTTTTTTTGGTTTGGGTTTTTT